TATATATATATATATATATATATATATATTATTTTTCATTGCAGGAAAAAATCCATTGGTTTACTAAACTTTGATGCAGGTGTTCGCTTGTCACGTAATGGCAGTCTGAGTTGAGACCCGGCCTATATGAAAATGCAACAGCTGATTTGATTCCGTATCACAGGCAAATTGTGCGAATTTCCTCTGAAAAGTAAGACAATTCTGTAGAACTTCCATTACTGTCTTTTTTCCTACCTTTTTACTGGTGATGAAATAGTAAGCTCATTCCAAATGGCCAATAACGTCCACCAAAAAGCTACTGTTGCCATATTTTCCTGCATATTTGAACAACAATCTTAAACTCTCCAGCTTATTAATTATTTGACTTAACAGATTTCTTCTTCTATATCTTAAGGGGCCCACGATCAATTTATTGATCATTTTGGCTCCTATGCATGTAGATGGGATTTGCAATGTTTATGTTCCTGGTGTTGATGAGGAAATTTCACTGATTTCCAGTGCCACTTTGTGAGGGAATCATGCACTAGGGGGTTGAAGGCTTGAGGCAATAGACACAAATGTGTCTAGTGTTGTCGCCTCAACCGTTCCTTTTGAAAGATTGTTCCAGCTCCTATGCTGGCTTCTTGCTGGTATGAGCCTGAATTGCCTGTCATGGCCTCGTCGCTGTCTTTGGAGTAGAGGGACGAGTTTCTGTTTAATACTGATAAACTCGATGACATTCTTATGAAGTGTCCAAATTCGTTCCACGACTCTTCCTTGGGTTAGCCATCTTACATCACTGTGCAAAAGATAAATCACAATGTCTCGCAATGATTCATGTTTGTACGCTTAAACAGACGATGCTGGCATGATTTATAAGTGTTGCCATGTCTGTTACTATCGCTTAAATCAGAGTCACGCTCGGTTTTTGAACATATAATTGACTGATAATTGATTCAGTGATATATTATACATTTTGGATGATGAACCACCTTAAAGTGACTGGCTAGACCTTTGTCCCTTCCTGTCATAGACAGGGCA